GAATTTGTTTTTTTCTTGTCTTTTTTTTTTTTTCTTTTTCTTAATTTATGTGTTCATTTTTCGTTTGCAGTACGAGATTATTGGGTGGTTGTCTTGACCCTATATGTGAAAGCATTTTTTGCTGTTTTCCAAGCAAAAAATAAATAAAAATGATTGTCATTGGCAGTTATCTCTCTTTCACACAAAAATATTCCAAAATTAGAATTTGAATCTCTATAGACTTTTTAATCATCAAAATGAGATTAATTAATCATTTAAACTGAACAATTATTACGTCCTGTAGCCTTAGATCTACTTTAAAATATGCGTAAATACGTATACACCAATAATTTACTTGAACATGATAATTTTACGGCTTGATTGAAGCCTATTAGATCACAGGAGACTAATAATTAAATAAAAAATGCAAAATATGATGATGCATTAGAGATTAAATAATATTATTTTTTAACTTTACTTGATTCTTGCAATCTGCAAAGTCTCTGTTTTTATAAAAAGTCACTAGTGTTTAACCGTCCACCTACCAGAGATCGATTAACATGGTGTGTCTAAACTCTAAAGTGATTTTTAAATGGGGCACGAAACATTCTATAGGCAAAAATTCAAACCACCTAATAACCTAAGGGTACTTTATTACGGTATAGCAAATGACTTTTCTTTTTTGATAATTATATATGTTTTAAATCTTCACTTGGGTTCAATTTATAGAGTCAATACACATTGCATAAAGTTCAAAACGTGCAAAAAATAAAATAATAGTATACAGTATTTATTGGTACCCCTAATTTGTAATTTAGGAATTGGAATTGCTTAGGTGCATAAGATATGATTAACCGAGTAAAACTGACCGAAATAAATAATTTGGTATTGAATATCGGTTTGGACCGAAATCGAAACCAAATATTTAACTGTTGTAGTGATTTTCGTTGATTTCAATATAAGTGCTCCGTTAACCGAACCGTCGGAAATCGGTATTATGCCTACAAAGCCCATTAGAATTATATCTTATCTTCCCACCCAAATCCAATTTTAGGCCCATTATACAATAAGAAATGGTTTTTTTACACATCACCCGACTCTTCCTACATGTGAATATTCGAGATGGTAAGGTTATTATCATATGTACAAAATTTATGTTAAACTTTGCAGGTGGATTAAGTTCCAACATAATAATAATGATTTGAGTATGGTGTTAGCTTCAACACAAGCAATCAATTAATTCGATTGTCAGTAATTGAATTGATTGATAGACATTATATTTTAGACATGGAGAGATAATTTGGATAATTATGAACCGGAGCTCAAATCGTAATTTGAGAGTTAAATTGGAAGTTTCAATAATATTACTTTAGTGGAATGATTGTATTATTCATATATGAGCGGAATGTTGGTGTATATACTGAAAGTTTGGCTTTAGATGTTATTTACGCTATTTCTATTTAATGAGAATCATGTTTGATTAAACAAGTTCTATGTTATGTTGTTTTGCACTTAGATAAAATGGTTCATCACGGATGGACAGAATATCATTTTATCAGTCACTTCTGAAACAAGAATGATTGGTTCACAACCTAAATTGAAATGAACAAACCATCGAAACGGTTGTAGTGTCAATGCTACAGTTGGTCTTGACTGATTAGTTGCGCTAGTACACTTTATATTGAACGGATACCAGAGATGAGCAGTTCGTATTATATTGATCATCGTAAATGAACTATGCATCATTTAATTACTATATTTTCTTAACCCATAAGATATAAGCAGACATGTGTATATAGTACACATTGCTCTGATTCTCCCAAAGGTGAGGTTCATTTTCTTTGGGCAAAAATTATGGGTGAGTTGGGTAGAGAGTCTGCATGCATGGTGTGTTGTTCGAATATATTCAGTCATCGTGTGCGTTAGTCTGATGATGCCCCTAAAGTGAACTAATGATTTATGAAGCATTATTATGTTAAACTCTGTAGGATTAAGTTCCGACATAATAATAATGGTTTGAGTGGTACTAGCTTCAGTTCAAGATGTCCTTAATTTGATTTTTAGTAATAGAGATTAATGGACTGATATTATATCTTAAATAGGAGGAAGTAACTCGGTAATTATTATTAGAGGCTCGATACAATTCGGGGATGATGAGGGAGTCCAGTAATGTTTTGTTACTGGACCGAAACATTATTTAAGTCATTGAACGGAGTAGGCTTGGGCCGCAGTTAGGCCCAAGACTTAAGAAGCTCACATCATCACCTCTTTAGGGTCCCTGTTGTAGCCCTATATAAACATCATTAACTCATGGGATTGGAAGACACACATCGTGAAATAAACTCTCACGAGTTCGGCTAGCCTTAGTTCTCTTGAGTTCGATCTCCGAGCTTGTTGCCTACGAAGACAATCAGAGAGGTGTCGGGTAATACAACAGAAGGCTCCAAGATTGATGATGCCTCTTGGCGACCCGACGCACGATCACGCGCCCTCAACGGTATGCTGCAACCCTGCACGCCCTCAGCTGAGACGCACGACTCGCTCTTGCGTCAACCCCGGCGACCACCCGCGACGCTCGCACGCTGCCAGTCTCACTCCCGCGCCAGCCGCAGACCCTCAAAATCCTCGACGAGCCCCGAGTTAACACTAGCACCCACACCCTGCAGCCCGCGAGCACCGCGACGCACACCCGCGTGACCCCTCCAATCATACGCGCACTCCCGGTGACTCCGAGACATACGACAAGGCGATTTCCTGTGAGTGGAATCAGACGATCTCCATCAATGGATCTGCGAAATTTTAAACCGTAAGTTTTCAACTTTAAACCTTAGAATCCCACTGCGCATAGGTTATTTATTGTACGTTTGATTCGTAACTTGCACTTAACGAGATTTTTACCGGTCCCAACAAGTGGTATCAGAACCCACAGTTAATTCGTTTTGTGCGAAGTTCAAATTTTACGGCTTATGTGACATGTTTTTTTAAGCGCGGTCATGAATTAGATTATATTTGCATAAATCGGTTTTGCAGGAATAAGTTTAATACACTGTGGTCGTATATGTTTGAAAAAAAATAAATATTAAAATTGTTTACTTAATAATTAACAAATTAAAAATAAACTATAATAATACTTAATACTGTTATGGTGGTATGTGTTTGAAAAAAATCTAATGAAATATTAAAATCGTTTACTTAATAATTAATAAATTAAAAAATCTTATAATAATACTAATTAAATATTAATCTCTCATCGTCTCCGGTATCTCTCCGGCTGCCGCCAACCACCACCCACCTTCGACTGAGGATCGCCGCCAACGGTCACCTCCGTCGGTAGCCGCCATGGTTGCCGCCGACCCCACTGCCACCTAATGTTTTTAAAAGTTGCATATTAAAGTTTATTTGAATGATATAGGAGATCCAAACATTAGATTTTTATGAACTAGAGCCATTTTCTATAGGAATTTAACGGTTTTTTGATTTTTGATCGGATCCCAAAATCGCCGAAAAATCACCGACAATTACAAAGAACCCAGAATTTTCTAACGCGCGACAAGGACATTGAGAATTGAAACTTCAATTCCTAGCTCTTCAATCGTCCAAAATTGATAATGATATATTGTTTTATTTCTCTCTTCATGGGATACAATATTCTTTTATCAATTTCAAGTTTTAGTTTCATATATGTCATGAATTTGAGCTACAACGGTTTCGTTTCCAATTTTTTTTGAATTTTTTCGATCATAAGATTCGATTTCTCGAAGTCTCGGTTGTCTAAAATTGACGTATGAGCTCTCATATTGTTTCACGATCTACAATGTCAATTACATGTTTTAAAATTGACGTTTTTTCTTTTTCAATTATCAAAATTTTTATGTTCAGAAATTAAATTTTGCTAGGCTCGATTGTCGTATAAACTCTAGTTTTATTCCCCGTTTCATGGGCTACAGAAAGCCCTCATCAATTTATTTTGAGTTTATAGTTGTTACTTTAGTTTTTATTTTCTTTAATATTCCTTTTTATATTCCAGCTTATTTTCTTATTTTCAGCAAGTTAGGACAATTCCGACGTGTGTAATGTCAAAATTCCTAGCACCGTTAGTTTTTGACGGAATTTTAATGGTTTGGACTAAAATTGATTAACGGTCCAAACATTGTGTACCAAAATTAAGTGAATGTATAAAGTACGGTACCGGAAGTGAAAAGNTTTTTTTGTAATTTTTTTTATCGGCAATTTTATTTGTACTAGTTTTACCCGTGTATTTGCACGAAAAGTGATATAATAGACGAGAAAGTAATTAAAAATATAGATTAAAATAAAAATCATAACTTAATAAATGAGAAAATAAATAATTTAAAAATGTGAATCTAAATATTATTAAACATCTCTTTATATACAACATTCTTGGTTTTCCTATTGTCGGAATTCTTATCACAACAAATCATTATCGTTAAACCCCTTCAACTCGTGACTCTAGGATTTGATTTTTTAAATATATTTGTAATATCTAAAAAAATATTTTTTTATTAATGTATGTAGTCATTCTTAATTAGTTGTGAAATATGTATTTTTATAATAGCAAAAAATATATAGTATTAAAATAAAAACAAAAACATTTTATATTTTAGGATATAATCAAAAGTTTTAGAAATGGGCACCATCCAAACTGGGACATATCAAAATAAATTGTGTAACCGAAAAATTACATATTTTTATTAAATAGTAGACATATTTTTATTAAATAAACTCATATTATTATTAATTATTGACTGAATAAAATTTATTGAAGTTTGTCAGCAATTATATATATATATATATAGATTTTTTATTCAAAGGCCTCTTGATCATTTGTATTTTTGAAAAGGTTATTTCAACAAAAAGTTGGCTGATTGAAATCCACTACTGTTCCCCATTCCAATGCGACCCAATATTTGAACGGGCCGTAAATCAAACCCAGCATTTATGGGCCGCGTGAGTTTGTCCAAATACGCTTCTCATACAACCAAATTCGTGCGACTGCAAACTCTTCATTTCCAAAGCTTAGACTAAAATACCAGGAAGAATGGAGAATATATGCGTGCTAATGACCTGTCCAATGTCCGCTTACCTCGAGAAGGAGCTCGAGAAGCGGTTCACGCTCCTCAAACCCTGGGAAGCCCCTTCCAGAGCCGAATTCCTGAACCGGCGCGCTGGGTCGATCCGAGCCGTGGTGGGCAACGCCAAGCTCGGCGCCGATTCGGAGCTGATCGACTCGCTCCCGCGCCTCGAGATCGTGGCGACCTACAGCGTGGGCCTGGACAAGATCGACCTCGACAAGTGCAGAGAAAAGGGAATTAGGGTTACCAACACGCCGGATGTGCTGACGGACGATGTGGCCGACGTGGCCATTGGGCTGGCGCTGGCCGTGTCGAGGAGGATTTGCGCTGCCGACGGTTTCGTGAGGGGCGGATTGTGGAGAAATGGGGGTTTTCAGCTGGCTACCAAGGTATGTGATTTGGACGTTAACGCTTTCAAATTATTATTTGTGATTAGATTTGGATATAACTTTTTGATTTTGATTTTGATTGGAGTTGTTGGTTAATCAAAATTAATTTTTAAAAAGTTGATTGATTTAAGTTTAAGTAGAATTCTGAATTTATATTAAAATAACTAGTGTGTATTAAATTAACAATATTATAAATAGATCTCGAATTTGAGTCACTCAATCGTGGAAGTGGAAACTACTATTCATCAGTGTTCTAAGAGTCGCTAAGCGCCCGCTAGGCGCTCGACCAGTGGCTAATGCCTAGAGCGCCTAGTCGGGGCCCAGAAATCAATAGTAAATACCTTATTTTTTATTTATTTTAACTACCTACAAAATAAAATTATCTCAACATATAATAAATTCACACACTAAAGTCCAAATAATAATATTAATATATATTAAAGAAAACATGAGAACAAAATAATGTAATTAGTATTTAAAAAAATTAAAAAAAAAAAATTAAAAAATTGCCGCCGAGCCCGCCTAGGAGTGCGTAGGTCCGCCTAACCGCCGCCTAACCGCCTGGCCGCCAAGCCCGCCAAAGCTGCCTAGGAGCGCCTAGGGCCGTCTAGGCCTGCCTAGGCGCCGCCTAGCCGCCTGGCCAATTTTTTCTGCCGATTTGTACAAATCGGAGGCGCCCGGGCACCGCCTAGCGCCTAGGCGGCCGCCTAGGCCGATTTTTAGAACAGTGCTATTGATCTTATTTAAAAAGAGAAAGAAAAAAAAATAATTATAAATTAAAGAGGATAATAAACAATACTTAATAATTATAAATTACAGAGGATTCGGGGTCAAATAATGTAAAAAGGAAGTGGAATTTCGAAAACGTTAGCCAAATATTTCAAATAAAATTTGAGGAGAAAATAAATATTTGAGCAGGAAAAATGACAATTAATTTTCGATTTTTTTCATTATTTTTTCTTAACTGTATTATATTGTATTATATAGTAATAGATGTAAAACAATATGTCTAAACAATTTGTTTAAAGTATCCAAAATATTATAAGTCTATATAAATATTATGTGTTAATAATATTTTTAAAAAAATATTCATAATTAGATAGGTGAAAAATAATTTTTTAAAAAAATCTTATTATTTAACATAAATAATATATTTATTTATAGTTATAATTAGAAATTAAAGACGTGTTTGCAGTTTGAATTCAATAACTATTGTGCTAACACTAAGAACAATATCCAAACCAAAACTCAACAATTTTGCACGCATTAGATGATGATTGAAATAAACATAAAAAGTGAGCTGCCCCAATAATCATGGTCCCATTTTTATGGCTTCAAGACGTGTATGCAATTTGAATTTGAATTAAATAAATAACCCTACAATTTAGCACGCATTAAATGATGAATGATTAAAAAATTAAAATATTTCCACAAATAGTATGAAATAAATGTAGTCTGAAATTTACTACCTACTATTTTTTGTAAATGTTAATTCTTATTATATATATATAGATATTTAAAATATAATGAGTAAAGTTGATTTGATATAAAAAGATATAAAAGGAGGATTTATTATTGAAAGTTATTAGTAGTTAATATTATGTGAGTAAGTGAATAATGAATTAAAGTTAATGTAATGTGTATGGATAACTGATTAGTATTGTTTAATGATATTGATAATATTGAGAATTGTTAAATTGAGCTAAATTTGAGTTAAAAAAAAAATATTATCAAAAGTGATTAAATATTTTACAAACAATCAAGAGTGAGAGTATTATGTGGAATTCGACTGGCAGCCGTGTTTAAAACCCATTTGAGCAAGATTTTAATATAAGTCGAAATTACCAAAACTAAAAGGAAGAGATGAAGCATAAACTAATTGAACAAGATGTGGTCTATGTTTTGCATCAGAGTAATGTAATAAAGAAAAGGAACATGTATCGACAATTCCAATTGCAATTCCACTTCCATATCCAGTTAGAGTTGAGTTTGGCTCGATTCAATGCCTAATACAGTTGGATATTTCGACTGTAAAGGTCGAGTCGCGATCCCCTAGCTATCACTAGTTTTGAAGAAACACGACTTTATGTTTTTTCTTGGACAGTGCATTTCAATGAAAATGTATTTTTTTTTTTTTGGCTTAGTTATACAATTTTATATGTTGTTCCTCAACCACTCCGGAATTTTGGCTAAGTTATACAATTTCCCTCAACAGGGTGCAATCTATTATATATTATCATGTGGTAAATTATTATATTAAAGGTGCTTGGTATTTGTTTTCCTCTCCATTTGTATAGTTCAGTGGCAAATCTATCGGCATAGTCGGCCTGGGCAGAATCGGCTCTGCCATTGCCAAACGAGCCTCGGCATTCAACTGCAGCATCAGCTACCACTCAAGAACCAAGAAACACAACACAGACTACACTTTCTACCCAAACATACTCGACTTGGCTGCTAATTCGCAAATCCTAATCGTCTCGTGCGCCTTAACGGACGAGACAAGGCACATTGTCAACCGACAGATCATAGACGCGTTGGGGCCCACAGGGATTCTCGTAAATATAGGGCGGGGCCCACACGTAGATGAGAAAGAACTCATTTGGGCCTTGCATGAGGGCCGTTTGGGTGGGGCCGGGCTTGATGTCTTTGAGAACGAGCCCAATGTGTCCGAGTCGTTTTTTGGGCTGGAGAATGTGGTTTTGTTGCCTCATGTTGGGAGTGATAGTGTGGAAACTAGTGAGGCCATGGCTGACCTTGTTGTCTCGAATTTGGAGGCCCATTTTCTCGGGAGGCCGCTTTTGACACCTGTTGTTTGAGTAGAGTCGAATATAGCAGCCAGTCCTCGAACTTTTATCACTCGATTTTTCTCCTTTTTTTTATTTTTTATTTCTTGAACTAAATTTTAGTGTTACCAGATTTTTGGTAATTTTTTGTAGATCATTTGGCTTTCCAGCTAATAACTGTTGATGTTTTCCTGATTTTGGTTTATGTCATATGGCAATGGTAAATGGAAGGAAAGAGAACAAGTTAGAGACTTTAATCTCCAACATCATAGGAATTTAATATATTGTAACATTTTATTTTTTTTTAATTATGATTGTTCTAGTTGTATAGACTTGTCATCTATACAAATCAGACATCATGCATAAGATCAACAAACAGGCTGGTTGAAAAAGTAATATTATCTTTTTGGCATTTTTGGCCAATAAGACCAGTTGGTAGAACAGAGTAGTGATGTCATCTCTTCCAATGCTATTATTGTGTTACAGATTTGATCACCTTAAAGTAAGATAAGATTGTGAAATCATCCACGTTTTGCCCTTATTCACGAAAGGATAAAGCAGATGCTAACACGACATAAAATTGTAAAACTAACATCAACATAAGGTCCTATGGATAAATGATAATGCTGCTCTTCTGAAAAAAGACGAGCAAACTAAGAAAGAAGTAAATAACTAAGACGATCATTTTTATTCTAATATAATAATCACTGGCCTAACATCTGAAAGTAAAAGTGAACAATTTGTTTAACAAGATGAAGCGACACCTCTAAATATGAGAAAGTTGAGGGTCTCGAGTGTGAAATATATGAAATTCCCTTTGCTGTGTGTGAAAAAACACCCAAAGTGGGATCCCACTACACACTGCCATCCATTTCCATATCTTGTGTCAAATTCCTGCACCAATTGAAAAGATCAAATATTTTTAATTGCAATGAATAAAATATATGCAATTCAAAATTAGCCAAGCACCACAAAAATTCTTAATTGAATACAAACAGTTAAATTTTCAAAAATTAGAAAAGACCCCTTCAAAAATTGTATTCTCATAGAACTACACTTGTTATACTAGAAACGTCTGGAACTTTATAAATGTTACAAGAACTTCTCTATGTACATATATTTATGAATTTATCCTTAATCACCTTCTTGATGTGGGCGGCAATGGATGTGTAATCTAAAACGTCGTACAAATCAAGAGCTTGAGAAGCCCAAGACATTGCTTGGATCTGCATCTTCACTGGCATATCAGATTCATTTATCCAGGCTTTTCCTTCTAACATCTTTTTCACGAACAGTGTTAACAAAAAAGATAATGAACTCTTGAGACCCCAAAATAGAACTTATTTCCACTTATAATCAAGAAGCGGAGTATATTATTAGAAGGACAAAAATAGGAAAAATGAAGTAAATGAAGGCAGCAGGTGGGTCGTTATCTACTTCAGCACTTCAAGACTTCAAGTATGCATGTGTTATATAAGGAGCTCGCCATGTGTAGAGATGTCATTTGATATGCATCACGTGGGCCCATTTTGTCTCCATTTTCTTTACCTTTTTATTCTATTGTCAAAATTGCATTTTTTTTTATTGTGCTAGACATTAAAGTTTGGAATAATTTTGACCCATTGAAATAGTTTTTTCACCATTAATTGGTACTTGGTACAAGAGAAGTAACTTTTTATTTAAATTATTTGAATGCATTCTATATGTATTGAGCTAGATCATGTGAGTTGATTCTTCTTGTATTGACGTATTAAAGTAACTAGATATTGATTGATATGGATGTTTGTACTCTCATGTAATGCCCCGTTTATTTGTGGATTATTTTGGATTTATTTTTATTATTTTTATTGCTATTATTATTGTTATTATTAATTGGTAGTAATATTTATATTTTATTTTATTGAATGCCAATATATTTATCTATTTGTCAAATGTGATTAAATGCTAATTGTAAGTTGTCTAATTGTTTAAATTGATTTTGTGATTTATTTAATTATTAATATGAATAAATGTGTATGTGATAATATGAAAAATATATATATTTATTTTCGGTTTATTTTATCGCGCGTTTGCTTTCGAAATCGAGCCCGATAATTTTGTTGTAACCGAATTGGGCCCGAATATATCTGTTTAAATTTTTACCTGAGCCCGTGAGCTGTTTTGTTATTCCAAACGGCCCAAAAATCCTATTGGCCCAAATTTCTCGGGCCCGGCCCGACAGATTTTCCCTTTCCCTTTATTTTGAACGTGATTTTTGTGTTGTCTTGGACAACAAGATTTTATTTTCCCAAACCTAATACATAAGTGTATATATATGTATATATATATATGTATATCACGTTTCCTCTTGGCCATAGAAATCCCGCAGCTTTGTGATTATTTTTTTTTTTCTTTTTTTTTTCGATCGTCTTCTTCATCACCATCATCGACCTTCCTTCATCACCATCATCGACCTTCCTTCATCATCATCATCGTCCCCTCATCATCCATCACCACTCGTCATCTTTTTCATCTCATCACCTTCGCCGTCATCATCCTTGGAGTTTTTCCGGCGACCTCGAACCAGTCCGGCGACCAGCAACTTCCGGCGGCCCTCCTCCCTGCGACCAGCCCTCCGGCGACTTCTGGGCACGTCATTCCGGCGAGCTCGACGTCCCTTTGAGCAGCGTCCGGCGAACTCTCTTTCCGTTCCCGACGAGAAGCTTTCCTCCGGCGAGAAGCTTCTCTACGACGAGAAGTTTTCCTCCGGCGACCTTGCAGCGACAACCGGCGACGACTAGCAGCAGCAACCCACCATCTTTCGGAGCCGCTGCAGCGCCTTCTTCTTTCGGCGAGACGCGAGTTCTCCGTCGAGCCCGACAACCTTACGTTCGTCCGTTTTCATTTGATTCCCGAGAACGGTACAAAGGCTCGATCCCGTCTCGTTTATATCGTTTATGTTATTCGCGAATATGTGTGATTTGCGTGACGTAAATAATGTGCGTTAGATTGTTCGTTATGATTTTATGTAATTGTTATGATTTTATGTGTTAGCGTATGTTCGAGATCTCTTCGACTTTCTCGAAAAATCGAACGAGACCTCGAAACTCGTGTAAGTCGGTGGATACTGGAACAATGTCAAGTCCTTGGTTTTATGAAAAGGCCTCGGACGATTAATTTCGTGTTGTGATTAAATAGTCGAGTTGTCGAGCTTATTAATCACTGTTTTGATGTTCGAATTTTTAAAAATAGCTCGCTGCTCGAAACGATGTGAAATTTTGTGGAGTAGGTTATCTGTTCATTATATGCCTTGTGTAAAATTTTCATAATTTTTAGAGACCTGTAGCTATTTTTAATAATTAAATTGTTTTCTGTCCAGAAAATTGTTAAATGCATAATAAATTCATACTTGTCTGAAATGAGCTGAAATTCGAATATGTCATGCCTCTTTGACCTATATGTGTTGTGTTAAATTTTCAGAATTCTTGGAGTTGATTTGATATGGGTAATATTTTATTTATTGATTCTGCAGAGAGGATGTTTTAATTTTTAAAAATCGGTTATTGCATGGAAAATTCTGAAATTTTACTGGGAGTCATATTTTAAGTGTTTCATCATGTCTGTAAAATATGAAAATTTTTAGAGTCCGTTTGGTTTCAGTTTGGATTTAAATTCAATAAACTGCTGTTTCTTGTTTGAATTTTTAAAAATAGTAGCAGTTATTGTTTAAGGCTGAAAATTTTATAAGTGAACTTTGGCATACTGAATGTTGCTGTGTAAAATTTTCAGGTTCAAATTCATTCACTAAGTCTGAGTATGGATTAATGTGCCCTTTTTGCTGAATTACTGTTTGAATTTTATAAAATAGGGTATGTTGAGTTTAAAGCTGAAACTTTGTGATATTACATATTTCTGGGAGATGAAATTTTGTATAAATTTTCAGAGCTTAATTCGTAGGATATCTTGATCAACTATTTTTCACGCGATTAAATGATTTCAATTTTCGAGTATAATTGTTATGTGGAAGTTGAATTGACTTGCTTGCTGGTTTTTGTTGTGAATTTGACTTGGTCAAACCTTAGATGGATTTTTGTGAACTCCCTTAAGTGGTTTGGTTGAGTTTAGTGCCGAGTCTTAGGGTTCCACATCCACAGGACTTCACGAACTACTTAGTCGAAACGAGTTCGACTAGGTCTGTCTTGTGATTTCCAGTTTAAGTCGAGATAGATTCTAATTGTAGGATCTTGGCATAATGTAGGTGTTTGAGGAGTCGAGCCTCGGTCCTCATCTTTTCTGATTTGCTATCATCAATCCGAAATTTCCAGGTGGGTTATTCTAAAATTATCTATGCATATGTGTGATTTAAATTGTGATGAAAGTTTGGTGTGATCTATGTATGAAAATGAACATGTAGCCTATCGATGTGAGCTTGATGGCCGTCGATACGGTTGTCCCCGTATGATAAGATACGGTTACCCCGTGAGGTAAATCTCATTAAGACCTATGAGAAGGCCGTGTCATTGATGTGGCACGCACTCCCATGTTTCACTGATATGGCATGGCTTAGCTTTGATGAGCATAGATGTACATGAGTGAGTCTTTGATGAGACTATAGTCATTGATGTGGCTAGAGATGTGACATGATTTTATTGTTTATGTTCATGCTGCGACCATACCATTATTATGTTATTCATATGCATAGTGTGAGTACGATAGTTAACTGTACTCACTCCCACCTGCTCGTAACTGATGCAGGTTAAGCAGTCGGCGGGTGACGAGACAAGACGGGTGGTGGTCATGCTTTTATTTATCGCTTATTTATTTGCTTCCGCTCATTTATGTTGAGATATTATGACTGTGTCGTTTTGAACTTGGAATTGTGAATTATCTTTATGATTTGGAACTTAATGAATGCCAGTTTGGTTTATGATTTATTATTCGTGCATGTTGTCTTTATTTGATACGTTTGCATTTTTGGTTAAAGGCTTTTGGTAAATTTGAGTAGCGCCCACTGAGTATTTAATTAAATTAAAGTTTGCGAAAAATTTATTGTGATTTTTATTAAATAAATTCGATAAATCCTTTAAAATAAAGTGGGGCGTTACAGTTTGGTATCAGAGCCAGTCTGCGTTTCTGTAGACTGGTTTATATATGGTTAAGTGTTTAGATTTTGAAATATGACCACTCGTCTTCGTCACGCCGCGCTGCTTAAGGTATGTGTTTAAATAAGTATCAATGAAAATACTTATAATGTGAAGATGTGAAATTTTGTATTTTTACATAAGTAGCAATGAAACTACTTGTGATGTGAATGGATATATGGATATATATATCATGTAATTATTTGGGGCTTAGGAAATCTATCCACCTTCGTTTAATGTGAACTCTAGTGTTTGATGTTGAACTCTAGTGATATAGAGTTAAGTTCGGACTCTAGATGTTCCTCGTTATGAGGTTCAGTATGTTGTTATCGAGATAAGTTATGCCCATAGCAGTTTCCTTTGCTATATAATTATATTCAATGTCTTCAAGTGAGGACCCGGTCAATGAGAACCGAGAATGTATTCTCCCTCTTCGGACCTTTGTCAGGTTTCGAAAATTATGAGATGAGTCAATATCTTATAGGCTGCCATTTTTATGGATGTTCATGGCCTCTGTTCAACCTCTGGTATGTTATGTGTTTAATGTCTCTTATGCCTTAGTAAGGGTGAGTTCATGCTAGCTCGAAGCATGATTAGTTGGGCAAGAGATTAGGATATGTGTTTATTTGATGCTCTAGCATGTTTATGTGTTTCGGTTAAAAGCTAGAAATACCTCTCGAAACTTGTGATATGATGAGATAAGTATATTTGGTTGAGAGTCTCATTTATATCATGATACATTTGGTCGGGTTCATTTGATATATATGTGATCTTCGATGATTGAGGTTGAATTTATGTATTAATGTGAATTGTTATATATTATCAAACCAAAAGATGTAATAATTTAAGTGAAAGGCATAAGACTTTATTTTCTATCTTGTTTAATAAGACCGAGTTGGACCTCGGACAACGTGTTTGATGATATTGATGTGTAAATCTTAAAGTATTGATATCGAGGCTTGCTTAACGTGTAATTTACGTGATTCTGAAACCATCTTGTGGTACAAATATTTTAAGTTGTCAAAGGCATGAAAACTAAATTTTTCGAGCTTCATTTAGGCTCTGTTTTTGTCAAACAAGATGATGTTTCTTGGACAAGTGTTCTTCATGAGATTTGTAGTGCTTTGAATGAAGTTTCTGTGAGTTTTGGAATTTTGTGATTTGGGGTTAAAATGAATTTGTTATGATTTTTTTAAAGT